GAGAGGACAAGGACAGCCCAAGTTGTTATCAACGCTCCATTCAGAAGCCTGCATCACTGATGGTATGGGGTTGCATGAGCGATTGTGGCATGGGCAGCTTGCATGTCTGGAAAGGCACCATTAATGCAGAGAACTATGTTCAGGTTCTAGTACAACATATGCTCCCATCTAGACGTCATCTCTTTCAGGGAAGACCCTGCATTTTTCAACACGATAATGCCAGACCACATTCTGCAGCAATCACAACATCATGGCTACGTAGGAGAAGGATCCGGGTACTGAAATGGCCAGCCTGCAGTCCAGATCTTTCACCTATAGAGAACAATTGGCACATCATAAAGAGGAAGGTGCGACAAAGAAGGCCCAAGACGATTGAACAGTTAGAGTTAGAGCATTCCTATTTCTAAACTTGAGAAACTGGTCTCCTCTGTCCCCAGACGTCTGTTGAGTGTTGTAAGAAGAAGGGGGGATGCCACACAGTGGTAAAAATGGACTTGTCCCAACTTTTTTGGGATTTGTTGACACCATGAAATTTGGAAACAACAGATATTTCCCTTAAAATTATACATTCTCTCAGTTTAAACTTTTGATCTGTGATTTGTGTTCTATTCTGAATAAAATATTAGATGTTGGCACCTCCACATCATTGCATTCAGTTTTTATTCACAATTTGTTTAGTGTCCCAACTTTTTTGGAATCCGGTTAGTAAAAACAGCAGTAGTAACATGTAACTTTTAGGGCAACCAGGGGGGTCACATATTCATTCATCCTTTATTTATACAGGTTGGTCTCATTGCGTTTTGAGGACTCGTTTACAAGAAACACCTGTAAATATGGCAGGAATATTACAGGGCTTCTGCCAAAATAACTGTATAATGCAAAATCAATAACAGTGTAAATATTTGAATAGCATTTTTATAAAACACTATGAAATTTATAAGACTGAAGCCGTTTTGGACTGTCAAAATACACTTAGGAAATTGGTCCATTAATGAGCTAAAATGGCTTGTTCCAATGAATCTCCTTACAAATTGGATTGCTGTAAATATCAGATCTAGGAAGGAAATTCCAAGACTCCTCTCTCACCAGCAACAACAACCAGCTCCTCCTAATGGATCCTAAGGTGTTTTCAGACCAGAGAGGATAAATATTCCCCCCAGCAAGTTCTGGTCTGCTCCAGGGTCTTTGTTCAATGGGACAAGCCTTGAAACCCACCACAGGGAGAAGCACAGGAGGCATCCTAATTAGATGCCAAACCATCTTGCATTTCAATCTGATGATAAAAGCTCACTCGCTGGACTGAGCTTGACCACCCAACAGAGAAAGTTAATTTCAACTGCTTGTATCACAGATCTTGTGTTTTCAGTCATGGTATTATCTTTATAAAGTAAAGTGCTATGTGTTGTCATCATTGTGTTTCCATACAATGACAAAATTAATTTTCTGCATTTAACCCATCACACCTAAGATAAACCCATGTGGAGAAGTGGGCAGCTATGTAAGCGCCTGGGGAGCAATTAGGGATTGGGTATCTTGCTCAAGGACACCACGACATGTGGGCATGGTGGGGAGTTGAACCTGAGACTTCCTGGTCTCAAGTCAGCTGCCCTACCGTTACCCCATCTCAGCCCACTGACCATAAATATCACATTACAACCATAGGTGAGGGTTGAAACATAGACCAGTAAATCAAGAGCTTTGTCTTTTGGCTCAGATGCTTAAATAAACTAGAGCAATGCCCTATGTGAACAAGGGCCCATGGCATCATTCGCTCAGTCCTGCCATATCATGGCCTTAGGCTGAAGACCATGGCTTGACAATGCTAACAGAAACACACCAACAGCTAAAAGTCACTTTGATATCTTAGCCATGAACACCACAAACAAGATCTGAGACCAGAGGCAGCCTGGGTGGAGTCCAGCTGGCACCAGGATCAAGTCTGACATTGTAACGAAGGTGTGGTACATCTCTTGTCTTGGTTATACAGAGACCTGATAACTGCTGAGTGTCCTTTTATTTTTAAACCAAGTATCTCACTTTGGACTCCTGATATATTTTTACGTTCTATTTTATATAAAATATATCTTTGCAAACTTTGAAAATAATCACATTTGGTTTGCATTTACATTTTAAACTTTCCTTAGTTTATTCTCAGCTGATTTTAATTCGTATACATATAAAAGTACTGGATGCAAATGCACATAATCAAATTCTACACTGCAGTTTTTGATCTAGTTAAAAATTTAAATGGTAAAAAGAACAAGTAAGATTTTGGTTTTAGTAGATGTACAGAAAAATTTAAAATAATTTTGGACTTTCCATCATGTCTGTTCAGTTGGCCTGAATTAAAGGGAGCTGATGTTTATGATCCAAAAGGATGTTATTGAAAACATCCTGCAGACACCATATGCAAATGGTCTCATTGAGGTCAAAAGGCAACGTGGGCAGAACTGGAAGGCAGAAAATGTCACATTATTTAAACATGTTTGACATCTGAAACCACAACTGAGCTTCTGGGGGTCTTTTACTGTCTGCAGAGATTGAGCAGTTTAAAAATAATCCTCCCCCTGCCAAACGTCACTCAGGCTCAAGAGCCAACACAAGATATCATCCAGTTTAGTTTTTCTTCAGAAAAGACACAGAGCTTCGTGGAAATGTGTGTGCTGTTATTGTGTGTCTGTTATTTTTATGGACTACAGTGGAGATTGGTGGATTTGGTAAATGAAGCATCTATTAAGGGATGTAAGAAGCTGCTCTTACACCTTCTTTTGGTTTGGGTTTCAAAAAGTGACGAGGGGTGAAGAGGAGTGCAGAGAGGACAGGCCGCTCAGAATAAGTCTGGATCATTAAATTTCATCTAACCAGTTTATCTGAAACTTCTAATGAATCTGACCTCCTATAAATACCCTCCTTTATATGAAATGATCTATTTAATAAAGTCTTTAATTGCGGTCACAAATCTTGAACTGACAAAGTCATAAAATCACCATTTGCAAGAAAAGCAGAGATAATCTTTCATTATTGTGACACATATGTAAATAGTTCTTTCAAAAAGACCATGTTTGGTTTCTTTTCATAACTGATTACCAGAAGCACAACTCATTCTTTAATATATATATATATATATATATATATATATATATATATATTTTTTTTTTTATATTTTTTTTTTTATTTTTTTTTTTTCCATCATTTAGAAAAGGCAATGAACATGTCACAGTGTTGGGTCAAGCAGAGCGTTGGTCATAAAGGCAAGGTTGGCAGTTTCATTTTAATCTGGCCTTATAATAACTCTGGGGGCGATGAGTGACAGTAAATATCTGATATAGTAAACAGAAAGAGACTGATTAGAGATATGGTTTGGATGCACATATTTTAGGAAAGAGTTGAGTTAAACATGATGTTTGACACCACAGTCAGTTTCAACACAGTTTAGTTCAATTTGTGCAAATAGAGGATCAAGTTTCCAGACATGCTTTAAAGCATTTAAATAAGGCAGAGTGAGTGGGGGCTGGGGGCGGCACTGAACTCGTTACCTTGCTTCAGAATATCCTTGGGAAAGGAAGACAAATATATACATAAGGAGTGGATGCCATGTCTGTAAAATTAGCAATTTGCTTTTATCTGAAATCAAAGAGATTCCTGCAAATCTCTAAAAGGCCATCTTTTGTTTATTTAAAAATGCATCACACTGGGACCAAAGCAAGCTTTTCAAGCAAAATGCAGACTTTTGTTTTGAACAAATTTAATTAGACTTATTTTTAAGATACTTGCTGCAATGTTGAAGTTAATTTGTATTTAGTAAAGTGCAGTCCTTGATGAGTTATTCCCTGTGGTTGAAAGGCCCAGATTGTATTTTGAAGCAGCATAAAATCCTTGAATTAAAGAAAACTCAAGGGCCTTTCACTTTCCAGAGATTGTTGAAGGCTGGATATGTTGAGATTAGAATAGCTGTCTCTGTGGCACAGAATACCCAGTTTTAAGAGATGGCAGTATTTTATAATTCCTGTCCTTAAAATACAGCAATATATAAAGATCCATAACTGAATTCAGAGTATTAATGTGTTTTTGTCCTATAATAAATATAATTTTATGCATTTCCATAGAATGACAGAATCGGTTTATCAATCAACCTTTATTTATACAGGTAAATCCCATTGAGCCTCGATTTGTGCACTTAGAACAAACTGGATGCTCTTTCTCTTTTAAAACTAAATAAATCAAAACTAAATAAATGTGCGACTTTTTAGATGTACATCTAATTTGACCTAAGTTTAATTGCATAAAGTTTGGGATTTTAAACCAAAATGAGTATTTTTGGGCTTTAAGAGTTCATATTTCCCACAAAGGATTGTACATTGATCACTGAGATTTTGACAGAAGTTAATTGAAGTGATTTTAGGTCCTCCTGGACATCTCTCAGATGAGCTACTTCAGAGGTCACACATGAAACACACAGGAGAGATTTTAGGTACTGTACAACACCTTGTGATCCGGTGAAAGCTCAGGGTTTTACACAAGGAACTGGGAGATGATGGATGACAGAGCTAACAACTGGTAGACTGAATGGTTGGTAACAATCCAAGATATTTTCTCCTTTTAATCTTTTTGCCATCTACAACACACGTGTCAAACTCAAGGCCCAGGGGCCAAATGTGGCCCTCGTTGACATCTTCTCTGGCCCCCAAGATGATATGTTCAATGGAAAATACTTTTATCACTTTAATTTTTTCAGTAATCTTTGGTTATGATGTCCAAAGTGCAACAGAGAACATCAAATTAGTCCAATCAAACTCTTTTTGAGTACCCTGCAACCACAAAAAGATTTTGGGTGTCTAACGAGTTAATTTAGATTCTGAAACTGGCCCTTTAGTTTGTAAAAGGTTTTAGTTTTGGCCCCCTTTTGTAAGTGAGTTTGACACCCCTGATCTACAATTTCCAAGAAAAATCATAATGTCAGTAGGTGTTGCATGATCTATGATGAGACAAAAATCTCTTACCTTAGGTGGAACCACTGGTCCAGAGGTATATGGAGCCAAGCTTGAGAGCGCATCTGTAAGGTGGGTTTTCTTGGGGCCTGGAGGCTGGTATGCTTGGACTGGAACAGGATCTGGTCTCCTAGAAGTAACTCCCCCTACTTGCAGTCCTCCTGGATGGTGCTGCTCTTGATGACCCATCGGGGTAAAGCCAGGCTGGGGTGGTCCATAAGCAAAATCGGGAACTTTTGGTTGGGCAGGCATGTACTGCACCTGTCCAGGGCTTCGAACTGGCTGTTGGCCAAAATGGTGCCCCGGAGCTTGATGCTGGGGGCCGTGCTGGGCCGACCTCACCTGGACATTAAAGGTAGGCTGGCTTGGAGTGGATGCTGTGGTATAAGAAGCTGGAACAGGCTGAGGAGCCATTGGGTTTTGAGGCTTGGGAACTGGGCTGACAGGGGGAGGAGATGAGGCTGTGGAGACTCCCCCTGGAGTCTGAGGTTTAGGTGTAGACTTCTTCGTAGCAGTTAGAGGTGGCTGATTTGGAATGACCATACGTTTGTAACCAGTCACTGGAGCATTATGGGTGGAGCCCGCCGACAATGCAGCTGTCTGAAAATTACCAGAAAGAAAGAGCAAACATGACTAAAGTTCAGAAAAGTTCAAGAAAAAAAAATCTCTTCTTAATTTAATTATCTTTCCTTACTGATTAAAAGAGCATTAACAGAAAGTAGTGGAACTGCAGCAGACTTCTATTCAAGTTCTTAGGATTCACATGACTTGAAAAGTGAACAGACCAAGTACACTTAAATGGCAAATCTTTTACTTTCTATAGTCCCGCTACGCGTCGTCATCAACATTAAACATATCTCAAGTAACAACTTCAACCAGGTGGTTTATAGGAGAAAATGGCCAACCATAAATATCAGCAATGACAAGTTAAAGACATGAAATGATTGTGCTACTGAGGGCTGAGGTTACCAGCGCAAGTAAGTCAAAAAATGCTTTTGGACTGCAGGATCCCACTTCAGGGTCCCACTTCAAAACCCTTACAGTTATTGATGTAGTTAACCCTTGTTTTGTTTTTGTAATGCCAATACTCTGGCCATTCACAGACCTTATAACTACATTTAATATGGCTTTCTTTTAGCTTATACTTTAGAGTAGAAGCTTCCTTGGCTCAACAGGGACTCTTGAGGGGTGTAAGTAGATGTGATTGTACCATGCAATAAAATTTGTAGATTGACTCTATACTCTTACAGCACCTGCATTTTCAACACTAATGAAAAAAACTACTAAACTTTCACTGTTGTTTGTTTGTCATGCTTTTCTTTGAACATGTGCAGCACAAAGTAGACTGATTTGTTGTATGAGTTTTGGCTTTTGTAACTTCTGAATGTGTGTAGTGCCCAATCAAACTCTGCTCAGACCAGTCTGCTTTTCTACAACCTCTGACCATTCATGAGCCAGCGATGGGGACAGCCACTTCCAGCAGGGACATGAGCTTTCAGAAATGAAGTGGGCAGTGTGGATCCAAAAGAGGCGTGGAGCGGAACTCAGCTGTGTTGATGCGGAGCACGACAAAAATATGTGATGGAGGTCTACTTCCAGCTCTTTTCAAAACATGATGAATTAATTCAGTTTAGCAATTCTCTTTGTGTTTAATCTTTGTTAACTAAATACAGCGTATTGCAGTCATTAGCATTATTTCATAAGTAACAAATCTGGTTTTTGTTGTTTGATCCTCTGATTAAGTGGCTCGACGCTATTGTCATCAGCTAAGTGTTGTACAAGCTCAGCGTTTCTCTGGCGATAAGAAATCAAACATAGGTCTTTAAACTGTTAACTGGTTTGAAAAGCACCTAAAGGGAGTGTCTAATAGAGAACATGAAAGATAACACATTTTGATTATACCCTAGTAAAATCAAGCTACACCAAAAGTGGTTATTCGAAACAGTCACCCAAAGCCGGGTAACCCCGGCCTGTGGAACCAGTTGCTTGGGGTCTTCTGGAAGACCGCTAATGGGAGCTAGCCTCAGTGTCTCCGCACTGCCTATGGGGACCTGGCTAGATACTGGTTTTTTAACAGCGCAGAACCGAGCTTCCAGTTCAGACAACCTCTTCTCCCAAGCTACAACAAGGCTACATTTGTTACATGTGCCATTATCACTAAAGGAGGCAGAGGAATAACTAAACACTTGGCACACAGCACAAGTGAGAACAGAGGAAGCCGGTAGAGAACCAGAGACATGCTAAGCTAACACTAGCAAGAGCTAGCAGATCTCAAATACACTGATAAAAATGAAAAAGTGTCGTAAGACAAAAGATGTCTCAAGCACTATCCAATACAATAAAAACAACTGTATCAATGGTGTTTGTAGACTATAATGTAGAACTATGCAAAAGAAAATATTTTACAAGCAAACATATTATTCCAGCTAACAGCAGAGGAAAAACAGGAAGTGATACAACATGCCTTACCGCAAACGTCTCAGGCAGAGTTGAACTTTTTTTGTTTTTTGGTCTTTTGTTTGTTCATTTGTTGTTGTGTTTTTTTTGGGGAGGTGGGGGTTCTGATAAATAAATAAAAAACATTTTCATGCTTACATTATCCTGCCACGTTGTTGAGACTGCCTGGACAGCAGAGGCTTTGTGCTCTCCTCTACTACTTATAATCTATGGCTAATAAAGCAAAAACAGAAGCAAATAAATTGCTTGGTAAAGAACAATGACAGCAGGTTGGCAGTGGCAGTCAATACTTTTGCTGACCCCAGCAGCTTCTACAGGAGAGACATTAAATCACTTATATTTGTAGCGCTGGTGTTCTTGGGAAGAGTCCGTTGTAAAACAGCCACACAGTCCTTCTCCAAGGATCTTGGCTGTGCTTTGATCTAATGCCTAACTGGCCAGCAAAATACAATATAGCAGCTATTAAAAGTGAGTAGAACAACACTTTACTGAGATGTCAGGAGTTTCTGCCCCGAGTGTCTCTCATGTAAGTAATAATTGTTTTTTACCAGCCTGTATTGGTGTCAGACGTTCAGCCATTCTAAAAAAGGTCTGTCATTAACCTTGGATGGCCTTATTAGGTTAGTGCCTGCAGCCAAAAATCAGAGTCAATTACTAAATTTATGACACTACAGGAAGAAAAATGAACACTTGTAGTCTTGTCCTCCAAAATGGGAAAGAGCAACAATTTCAAGAGCTTTCCAGTCAAAGGTGATCAAAGCTGCAAAAAACATCACAATCTGTATTTTTCTTACCTTTTCATACACCTACTGAATTAAAAGAACAATGCTTACAGCATGTTGTCTATTTATCAGACAAGCCATTATACAGAACCAATTTTTTAACACTTAAATGAAGAGAATTCCAAGTTTTGGTAAATTTGTCAACTTTGTCTAAATCCCATCTAACCTAAGTCGGAGGGAAGCCCCCAAGGAACCATTAAAAGCTCCAGATTGTGTTTTTTTTCCTGCTCTCGCTCTGATTTCTGTGTCAGTGATTAGAGCTGATGTTTATTTAAAAAGTGTCTCTTTCTGCATATGTATGGAAACTGCTCCACTATGCCCTTTAGGAAGAGATATTACTCAATTTAAATGTTTCATGGGTTTTAAATACTTGAGATTATTAATTTATCTCTGAGGCCTTAAAACCTACAGTATCATTTAGTTTGAACAGCACTGGAAATGCAAATTGGCGCCCTTAAAATAATTACATTGTCATGGTGCGTTTTCCACAAATTACATTAAGTGAATAGATTTGCCCCTTTTCTGAGCGATTTAATATTAATTAAATGGTGGAAATTAGAGCCCAAATGTCAGTGTGGAAGAAACAATTACCTAAACCCTGCAGTATGTCTTGGATTGGTCAAAAATTTATGAGACTAACCTGTAAAAATAAAGGTTGAATGAAAAAAAAGGTTTAGCAATATTATTCTGAGTTAATTCTTTAGTTGAATCAAGATAACAGAAAAGAGCTGATGGACATTTTTGAGCAGCTGAGAACTTAAATGAAATTTATCACCTACTCAAAATTAATACTGTTTTAATGGGAACAGATATTAATGATGGCCTGAAGGTCTAAGGGAAAAAATGTCAATAAATAGTTTTGATGCTCAGTAAATAGTGTGATGGGGCAATAACAATAAAAAGGAGGTAACTGATTATACATTATGTTAAGGATCACAAAGTGAATACTGACATCTCACTCTCCATCTCATGAGTGCTGGTGAGAACAGCACGGCAACAGTTGCAGTGTTGTAGTTTTTATTCTGAAGCGTAGTGTGTTAGGTGTGTGAAGCTAGGGGCAACCCCAAGTGTGAGTGAATGAAGGTGCAAACAGTTAAATCTCTCTGGCAACAACTAAACGGTCTTTTCTGGCTTTGATATTATATTTAATAAGGAAAGTTCCTTTGCAGGTGTCAAAATACAGCTCCTCTTATAAAAAATACAGAAACTAAACGGAATGGTTTGAGATGCCTGCGACACTAAAAAACATTTTAAGAGAAAGTTAGTAGTCTTTTTTTATGTTTAAAATTCAAGTGACAATGCTGCAGACCTCTGAGACCCATAAAAGAAAATTGAGCACCACTACAAACATTTTGAGACATTTTGGAGACCCATTCACAAACTAGTCTCCAGCAGTTGCCGCCCAGTGAGACTCTGGCTTAAATCTTTGTGCCCTGGATTAAAATCAGCCATGATGTTGTCAATATTTGAATAACAAAATCACAAACAAATAAAAAAAATACACTACAAGCTGATAAAGGGACGGAAATACAAGAAATGGCATTACAACAAAAAAATAAATATATTTAGAGATGTGGTTTGTCCATGTTAAGCACAAATGCAACAAACACGTAGCATCCGTGTGAATGGATGCTACGTGTTTGTTGCATCCTCCGTGCAAACACAAAAACAACGCACTCACTTTTATAAAAGTTTTTCCCAACCTCTTCATAAAAGTTAACCCTCACTCTACACAATAATTCAGACTGACTTTGCAAACAACTTAAGTGTGAAAATTCACAGAGACTCTCAAGAAAGCCTTTGACACATTAAAAAAGATTAGGAGAGACTATACAAGCCTTGGAGGGGGGCTGAGTAAAACTGTTAACTTTGCACTTCAAACCACAAAGGTGGGGGATTGTTTTTTTCCTCAGCAAGCTCGGGAAAACCCCCTAAAGAGGAAGAAGTTCTGGTGGCATCTTTTCAGACTCATCTAAAACCTTGGATATTTCTCTGTAAACTTTCTTCTGCTTCTTATTCACACAGCACCGCTGATCTCGACGGCCGGCTCTGCCGGTCATTTGCATCTGCCCATTTCAGCACTTCCACATGACCATGGAGGAATCCCCAGGTCGACACTGAGGCGCTCAGTAATCTCCCCTCCACAGCCACCTTGTCTCGATGAAGTCTGGAACAAAAGTTACTTCTGCCCAGTCGTAAGTCTTGGTACGATCACTAAATGGCGAGTATCACTTCTCTTCCTAAAATAATTCCTGACAGGGCTGGTGGCAAATGATAAAACAAAGTCTGGAACATTCTGAGACTTCCAGCTGTTTCCTGCTATCTCTCCATTTGCAGATTATGTGTTTTCAACACGGAGGA